TTTTAGGAGTTAAATTTCTACAATGAAAAGCTGTCTTTGGTGTCTCTGTATTTGCACATTACACATTTAGAAATACAGAAGTTTGTCTGAAGTACATTTTCCTCTTTTCAATCACAGGTTTCTCCAACTTCATAAAGGTAAAAGAAGAAAAACTATTACAGCATTCACAGATGTAACCTTTTGTGATTATTTGATTTTTTTAAAAAATTGTGATTCCCAACTGATGATCATGAAACCAAAGGATTTTGGTAGCTTACTTTATGCAAAAGCAGTTTTTACATAATAATTATGCAATCAGAAACAAAATAAGGTGGTGCTTTTTGAGTTTTTTTTTTTTTGTTTTGGTTTTCTTTTTTTGTTTTGTTTTGTTTTGTTTTGTTTTGTTTTAATTCTGGGAATTAAAAGAAACTGAAAGCAATTTCCATACTCTACAAGTAGAAGCCTCAAAAGAAAATATCCTGCATGCAGCATCAGGCTTCAGAGAGAGGTATTTGACACTTTGAGTAGATCCCATAAAATTTATTATTGTGTTTCAATTTAGGTAGAATGCATCTGTGTACTACTCAAATGAAGGATACAAAATTCACCTGTGGAAGAGAACAATGAATGGCTCATTTCCATTCACAGCTCTGCATGAAAGGCTTTCCTCTAGCTTAAACTTCACTGCAGATAGTATAATGCTATTTTTGTTTCATTTTTTTCAACCTCATACTTGGTAAATCACTTAATTAATCATACTCCAATCCAAATGTGAACTGCAAGCATTCACATAAAGAAAGTGGAAAAAAATTGAATGCTTAGCTAGTCCATATCCCTTCTTTCAAAAGTTCATTTTTGTAAAATAAGACAAAAAAAGCAGATAAACAATCATCCACCATAACATTTTTTTTAAAAAGTAAACACAGAAATAAAAATTCAGCTTGCTTCCATCCCACTTTCACATTTTTCCCCTGGGGATGGTAACATATCACTAATAAAAAAACTACTTCTTCCTTCAGTAGGGGAAAAAGTTACTGTCTGTATGGTTTTAAGAGAAGAAAGAACAGTATTTTTAAAGTCTTTAGAAGTTACTAAGAAGTCATGAATACAAGAATACTTCACCAAGAACATTAAAACCATAAACTACTACTGACTACAACTGCTACTTTCAAATACAACACTAATTAAAATATACTGTTAAAATATACTTTACATCACCATCAAATTCTTTAATACAAAAAGCATGAAGTAGGAATTTTATTCAGGAAATAGGAAAATAAGTATCTCCCTTCTCTTAATTTTCTTCATACCCCGCAAATAATTACTTATGTACAAACATTTAAATACTTCTTTGTGAGTTAGTTTCTTTTGAATTAGCACTTACCTTTCTCTTCCTCATATCAGACATTTCAAGTAGCCTTCAGACACCAGCTGAGGTTTTCATCCAACACACAATCTGATAAAGCTTGTTCCCCAGTTCTAACTAAAGGAAACAGTAATACAAAGCAGTAACAACAAAATCCCATGTATTAAATTGATAATTGGGTTTGGTTGACTGCTTTTTGGTTTTGGGGGGATGAGGAGATTTGGAGAGAATTGAGAGATGAATCAAAACTCCTTGACACAATGTTTTTACTCTAGTTATGCTGACAACCTTGTGTCACCTTATGATCAGGGACTTGAGTTGATCTGCCCTTATTTATGTATCAAGTAAGGACATGATTAGCATTCATGATGTCACTGCTTGAATTTTGAGTAGCAGTCTGGAGTAAAAGCATGCCCAAAACATTTTCCAGATTCATGGTAACTTGCTGTGAATGTGTATTGCCACCTAGAGTGTCAAAGTTATAACTGTAGGCATGGAAGTAATTAAGCCAGCCCAGGCATATTAGTTATTATGAAATGCTCCTTAGAGCACAAGTTTTGCTGCAGAAGCAGTGAGTCCGTGCAGTCTAACTCCTCTTCCCACAGTCAAGGTCAGAGGCTTTCACAAAAGAATACATTAATTTCCCCAAATGAATCTACCGCTCTGGTTAAAACATGCTGGCAGATGCTGGACACTAATTAATCTTTAATTTCACCTGGTAACATATACGTTTGCACACTTTTATTTTCTTTATGAAGGATCCTATATATTTTCCAAGTTCCTATATACAAGCATGTTTTTCAACATCCACTAAACTCCTGGCCAACAGGAAAAAAAGTCAACCAGCAACTGTCAAAACAGTGAAAAACCTATTATTTTATCAACTATTTAGTTGATACTATATTCAAATTACTGTAATGTTGCTGTGCTGAAATGGAGCTAATGCTGAAAATATTGTCATTGATCTGCTGGCCAACTCACAGGCTGAGTTACTTCATGATCCACCTTCCATCCCCCATTTTTTCCCTTTCCTTCTACCACAGTCTACTGACTCAACACATGTTCACTTATGCAGCCTGTTTTTCTCAGTAGTTCTTCCCTTTTCTGATCTGGACTGAGCTCTAATCTCTTCCCAGAGACTTATCTATCTTAGGAACCATAGACATAATCCAACTCTTCAATAAACACAAATCAAACAATATAAATTAGGCCTTTAGTTTAGAATAATGCAAAAGACTTATTAAATGTTGGTCATGCTACTTTGCTGTTTAAATCTGCTTTGAAACATATTTAACTTTCACATCTGACTTGCTATTATTCCTGCACCCTTACTGTGCAACTTGCTGATACTGCACCTGATCAACCCGGGTGGTGTCTAGTTACCCCTTGCAAGTTCTTAAGCTTGTGACACTGGTCTTTCCTTTTAGAAAGAAATATTATAGAGAATACAAACTCCCAGTTAACTATAGAAAATATAAATTTTTTTTCACTCTGAAATTTAAAACCATATCAAATTAAAACTGTCAGTCAGTATGCAGCTACTGAATTGCTGCAATGTGTGATGGCATTTCTTTATCCTAAAACAACATTTTCTTTTCACTGGATGTTAATGTATATGCAAATTAAAACTTACACTTACATACAGTTTATATACAGCTTTGGAATGAAAGGTCTCTAGAAAAATGGAGTCAGAAGTCAAGACCAGCAATTTGGCAGTTCAGTGTCACATGGCATCTGGAGACACCAGACACTGAGAAATGCAATTTCTTATACATTTTGTCAGCTTTAGTGCAAAATGTATGTGATCTGTCATCACCCCTCATTACTGCTCCAGCCTTTTGCATAACCCAGACTCTCAAGAGTAATTTCAAACAGTTTTCCAAGGCTTTTAAATTTACTCTATTTGCAAAGAGATGAATGGAAAAAATGAATCAGCTCAGGAAACAGTCTAAAAGTAACCATAACATTCCAGCCCGTAACAGAGTCCACAACTGGAAAAAACTATGAGGAAAGTGCTTGCCTACAGCACAATTGCAAATGAAGTAAACACATGGCTTACAGCACACTGGAAGCTTAATTTGTTGTAAAGGACTTATTTACCTGGTTATGGGATAGATCAAACATGTATTTGAAAGACCATAATAAAACATCTTCTGTTCCATGAAAGGAGTGGAATGACAGATTTTAATCAAATGCAGGCTATTGCTAGGATGTACCTACCATGAATGAAGCACCAAGCTGATTTTAAATGAGCAGTGTGTTGCAAACATACTAGCTAATAATGACAAAAACTGGATCCTGAGAAGAGTGGATGATCTGAAATATTATAAAACTCACAAATACAGGAAAGCATGTATTATAGAGGGTCAAAAATCCCTAATCATATAACCAATTCAAATACCTCAACAAATTAATAGATCTATTTTTTTCACTAATTTATTTTGGTTATAGTAAACATGAAATAGCAGTTTTATAGCCTTCTTGCCAGAAAAGAAGTTTGTTTTTAAAAAAAATTTCAAATTATCTCCTAAAACAAGTTGGTGTATTTGAACTTAAACAAAATGTTAAACTGAGAAAAATACATATTGTCCAAATATATATCCAGCTAATCTGACAGAAGGTAGAAGGATATCCAAAGAGGCACCATGAACTGCTTAAGTCCCTAAGCCACCTCCTTTCTCCTGAAGGTTTGAGATCTTAACAAGCTAAATGAATAAGCAACAAATACAGATAACCTATGCAGCACAAATTGCAGAAAAAGTTTCCAAGTGTTTACCAAGGAAGCTGACAAGCTCACTATTTTAAGCAAAAAGACCTAGTAAAACAAAGATACAGAAGCAGCAATCTTATGAAATAAAGTCAAGAACTTCACATAGTAACAGTGACAAAATTTTCACATACACACAGGCAAAACTTTATTGTCCTTTAACAAACACATTATTAGAAAAAAATAAAATTCAAAAGTTGCCTTTTTCCATAGTGATTACAGAAAAAATACGTTTTCTATCCTTGAAGACAAATCATATTCCAAAATGTAAGTCTTCCCACACAACTTCAGTCTATTATTAAAGACGTCTTTCTAATTGTACTTCAATATGTAAATAAATTGCAAATCACAAACATCAAGTTTATATTACACAGCAAAAAACCACTATTTGAATGAACTTCTGCAAAAACTTTCTGCAAAATTCACAGTCTCTGCAAAAACCACACCTCCTTCAGTATAGTTTGAAAAAGTGTGTGTGGTCATTTTATATTGCACTAACTTTTCTTGACACATCTGCCCAAACCTGTCATTCAGATGCTATCAACTGGTTCAGAGCAACATCACAAAGACTACAAACAGCAGTAACTTTAATATGAACCAAAAACATAAAAAAATGGGTGCCCACTGCTGTCCATAATGCAAAAAAGAGAAGGTGAAAAAACTTTTTCACAATGAGAATGTGAAACTTTTCAGAACAGCAGCAGCTTTCAGCAGAAAGTAGCCCCTTTTCCTTCCCCTTCTCTGCCACACTTGGTTTTTGGTTTGCATAGAAAAGGGAATGTTTTGTCCAATTTTGATGGACTCATTTTTTGGTTTAGCTATTATACAGAAAAAAAAAAAAGAACACATTACAAAATCACAAAAGTTTGTGTGCTTCACACGTTTTTTTTGTTCAGGACAGACAAAATAATTCTGCACTTCAACATGTAACATATCCCCATTTCTTTTAATTGCATCCCAAAGTTCTCATTTTCTATATTCTTCTTTTAGTCTGCCTCCATGTCTTCAAGTATTCTTGTTAGACACTGTTGGCTCCTCCTTACTGCACACCTTCAGATAGCTTCCTCTTAAGTACCCAATATTGCTCATCCCATCCACTAAGGCAACTCAGATTTGCTTTTAAAGACTGCCACCACAGTTTCTCCAAGACCGCATAAGCATGCTTATTATTCACCCAAGGAACAAAACCCCATCTTAATGGAAACAAGTTCCCTGGGAACAGATGCACAGCTATGAAACAACTGATCAGGTTTCCATTTCAGTTTCTGCAGTATCAGTCCTTGCAGCAGTTTTGGCACCCGATGGAGTCTCTTCATCTAGGTTCTGAATATCAGACAAATCAATAGCAGGCAGTGGGGCTCTCCAGTACAGGAATGAGTTATATTGACAGAATTCCTCTTCTTGCTTTGAAAAGAGATAAATAAACGAAAAGTTAACAAAACATTAATGTCTATACCAGCAGCAGAAAATAATAAAAAGAAACTTTTTATATGAGAAACTGAAACTAGGAAGAGTTACTCAGCTATTACATATTAACAACTGCTTTATGATTCTTAACTAGATCATGATTTATTTCTGCCTTTTCTAATACTCTTGCAAAGAATTATGTAACAGCTTCCATGTTCCACACATTTATTCAACTTGCAACTTTTGCACAGAAAAAAAGGTGTAAAACTTGTGCAATTACTGGACTTTGCATACAAAAATGGCTCACTGCTTTTTCTTCTTGTAATAGTATTCAATTTTCATGCACATTTAGAAACTGGTATTCAAAAGAATGTATTTAGCTACTTAACAGCAACTCAGAGGGATGATACACGCAGGATAAAGAAAGCATTTTAAACAACATTCTATTTCCTCTTTTCTGTATCCAAATTTTGTATTCAAGAGAGGAAAGCTTAAGAATCACAGAATATTCTGAGCTGGAAGGGACTCTTAAGGATCAGCAAGTACAGCTCTTAGATGAATACCTCATATGGGGAGCAAACCCACAACCTTGGCATTATGAGCACAATGTTCCAACCTATCTAACTAGATAATAACTCAAAAAATCTTGGAGAAACACATTCTCATCTACTAATTTAATATGGCATCACAATTTGAATTGTTTTTTAAATGTCTGTGAGAAAGTGCACTGCCTGTTTATAGACATGTCACAGTTATCAACAATGGCTAAGCTGTACATGCTTTTATGGACATGATACATCTAGGCAGAAAAATGAATTAAATGATTCCTTAGGTCATGAGCATGTATTTTCTTCTGGTACATAAAAACAGTGTATGCTGACACAAATATAAAAAAATGCATTTTCATATTATATTGGGTTTGCATTTTTCCTAATATACAGTTAGAAGTTTTAAATATTTTACTTCACTGTCTCAGCTGTAATATAAACTGAACAGAAGTATTTTTAACAAATAAACCGGTGTAATTGTTTTGGTATTCCTGAGATACCAAAGTGCAGCCTGTGGGGGGTCAAAGCATCACTGCAATCTGCACTGTGACTAAGCCAACTTCAGTGGGCCTCTACAGTGTGGCTCTTGAAAATATTAATTACTTGTCTGTTGGTTTTGCAAAAGAATAAAAAAAACAGTAGTGAGTATCATCCCTACACCTTCTCAAATACTGAAAAATTATGCTTTCCCACACTTCCCAGAAGAGAGAAGTACATAAAATCACCAACCTTCTCATTTAGAGAATACATTTTTCTATTTGTTACCACACAGACCTCTCCTGAACTACAATCTGTTGTACCAAGCAACATCTTCCTGCTACAAAACCCCTGCATGATTTAAAACCTGTAATAATTAAGAGAGGATGAAAGGTGTAGACATTTCATAGCAGTAAGATGGCTCCTTGCCTACAGAGTACTACTAATGTGGATTTCCTCACTGGGAAAGTCTGTCTTCAGAAAACATTAAAGAACAAAAGTTCCCATTAATTGAGACCAAAACCAATTAAATTACACCGTGACACAGGAACAAAAGGACTGATTATACTGAAACTGGAAGAAAGCCAAACTACAAGTAGTTGCCCATTCTTGTAAACTGGAAGTTTTGTACCGCACAGCATTAACAATTGACAAGTGTGGAAAGGATGACTTTCCAATCTGTACTGCAGCACAGGCAATATCACTCACACAGAACTGTGAAGGGCAGGTGGCTAACAAATTATTTAAAAAAATCTCAGGCAGTGCACTTTCAGAAACTGTCAACTAATTTTACAAATTCTCCTCTGCATTATTTGAATTCCCCTGACATTTTTTTTTTTTTAACTGAGAGCTAAGTACTTAAAATCAGAACCCTGATGCTTTGTATGCATAAAGTGAATGACAGCACCCTCATTTCAAAATTATTAGAGTCTAAGAGCTCATAAACACATACTCAATTTTGGACTAAGACTACATACATAATTACTCTCAAAAGCTTTCAGGTTTACAGATCAGCAATACTGCAGTGTGAAAATGAAAAAAAAAAAAGTACAAAAGACAGGCACAAATGCTAAACATTCATACCTAGAAGGCAAAATAAAACACCAAATATTCACCTTCAACTAAGTAAGTTTCCACGTAGATTTTGAGTAGAAATTCTATCAAGATAGGCAACAAGATAGGCAAGCTCAGAGATACAAAAGCCCAGTTTCTATAGACTAAGTTGCATAATATTTAAGGAGTTAGTTTTCCAACTCTAGTTGCAAAAGTGTACTTTGAATTAAAATAATCTTTTTTCTCTGGCCAACTGCAATATGATGCTTTAAACTTTAACAAAAATACTGTGAAATTAACAGTATCCTGATCATACTTATTAATGTAATGAAATACACAAGCCAGAAACACCAAAGCACCAAAGAATAATACCAACCTAGAGACTGTATTTTCAGAAAGGTTTAAAAATCATCATCAGAAATAGCATCATAAAGTATTTAAAATATACAGGTGGGACACACAAAAAACAGAAGAAATATCTCTAGCCCAAAGTGTTAATCAAGCTTTATTTTAAAACTAAAACATTTTTTACACAATACTGTGCTGACAAGAAACAACCTGTTAAAAATATTCTACATAGAATACTAATCTTTACTGTGCGGAAATTCAAGGGGCTTGTGGCCTTCCGATCACTGCTAAAGCTTACAAAATTATGCCAAGTAACACCAAGAGCAAGTATCCCTGTGATGGGAGTCAGACTGTTCTGCAGAGGCTTGTTCAATTTGTTTGATTACTACACTCGTGAATATATGTGTTCCGTCTTCAAAACTAAAAGAAATACTTGTCCTTAAAATGGCTGTATAATATTCATATGACACAGAATTCTTTCTAAATTTCTTCCTGCCTTAATTTTACCATCCATCATTAATAAAACCCACTAACAAATCAATCAACCAAGAAAACACAAAAAGGCAGAGCATGAAAAACAAAAGCCACTGTTTTCTTTACAGATCGAATGTGGGTGTTATACTCTGAGAGGCCTCAAATTATCGAAATTAGAGTCTACAACAGCCAATCAAAGCCCATCTAACCTGATCAGACTTTCTGCCACTCCCATATCACTGAGTCTAGCAGTTTGGTCTTTCAAGATCCAGGTGAGAGAAAAAATTAGTTTAATATGTACCAAACTTCTATGTTTGAAATGTGTGAAATATGATCACAATCTGCTTTGGTTGTGCAGAGTTTTTGGGTTTCTTTTTTTAATTACAATTTTCTTCGTATGTAATAAATTTTGTTTTCTGAACTACTGTGTAAAATGCAGTCAAGGCCAAGAAGAAAAACGTATATTATTCAAAGTTAACCAGAAAAGTCGTTTCAATATACTCTAATCTTACGACACTGCTGCGCTCCCTCAGACCACTGCCTCCGCTAAATGTTTTGGTTAAAAGACAACTCTGGCATTGCTATTAAATGTCAAAACAATAAGTTAAGGAAGCTGACACTGTAGTGAGCCTAACCCTCACCCTCACGCAACAGAGGCGACCCCAGAATAACCTCTGCACGCTTCCACCGCACTGCTGCACGGGGATAACATAACCTCGGGTGAGGAGGACAGGCTGTTTTATGGCACGGAGCGGGGAAGGAACCGGTAATGCTGGATGATACTTCTCTAGCCTCGAGGAAGACAAAAGCAAAAGGAGCTTTAAGATGCCGCGGCCAGGAGGCGCAGATGAGCCCGGGCGGCGCTGAGGGTTCCCGGCGAAAGCCCGCCAGCACCCCCGGCGGACACCCGCGTCCTGCAGACACTCTTCAGCCGCTACCGGCACCGCCCCCCGCTTCCCTCCCCGCGGACCGACTGACGCGGGCCCGTCCCGCACAGCTACCTCGGCGGCCGCGGCGGCCCGCTCTTTGCCCCGGCCGCCCGCGCTTCCCTCCGCCGCCGGCGCGTCCTGGGGCGCCACAGTCCCGCCGCGCCGCTGCCGCCCGCCGCCCGCGTCCCCCGGCTGCGCCCGGGGGGCGCCGGGCCCGAGCCGCTTTCCCGGCGGCGCCTCCGCCTCCTCCAGCGGGCGCTTGAGCGCGACGGGGCCGGCGCCGCCCGGCTCTGCCCGGGGCCGCCGCTCACCCGCGCGGGGCAGCGCCGGCTCGCGCAGCAGCCGCTTCACGGGCACGTGGCACATCAGCGGCTCCGCGCGCCGCTTGGCCATGAGATTCCGCGGGGCTCCTGTGCCCGCCAGCGCATGCGCGCCACGCTCGGCGCCGCCGCGAGGGGCGGGACTGCGCGCCGCACTGCCTGACGGGAGGAGCGGGCTAACAGCGCCGTCACAGCCCAACCCTCACCCCGCCGGGAAGGGAGCGCCCGGAGAGCGCCCTCACAGCCCAACCCTCACCCCGCCGGGAAGGAAGGGGAAGGGGGGAAGGGGGGAAGGGGGGGGGAGGAGCGCCCTCACCCGGCAGTGAAGGAGACATCAAGCCTTACAGCAAGCTTTAATATCCAAAAAACCCAGTCCATTACACGCACTTTGAACAATGGGAAGTGCACACAGAGACACGAAACTTCCTATTCTTAGCATCTCTGCAACAATTTTAGAATATAACACATTAAAAAATATACAGGACGTTTTACATTTATCAAACTCCAAATAGAGAAGTTTTACACTGAGGATTATGCAGCATTTTTACACTTGTTACCATGTACAGTTAAATAGTGACCTAAAATAAACAGTCTTAGCTGACGAACACCTTGAGCATTTCCCCCTGCATATAAAACAATGATCAAATTCTATAATACACAATTATCCCTGTGCATTACAGTACAAGTGGTGAATTCTAAAAACTCTTAAATGGGACTGAAGATGAAACGCTACTAACAGCTCACTCACAAGATTATTTTGCTTCCAACTCTTAATGTGACTGTTGCAATTAAACGCAGAATGCTCTTGAAAAATCCCCTGCATTCTCTAGATCAGAAATAAAAGCATATCACTGTATTATACTATATGCAAAAATATTTTCGGAGAACATACAAAAATGGCACCTGTGACACCATGGAATGGTATGGGAAAAAAACACCAGAACACAGGATATTGACACTCAACCATAAATAAGAGTTCCACCGCTTCTTTTTTGAGAAACAGAACAGCACATTTCAAGTTACAGAGTGTATGGGGCAAAAACTGGGTAGTATTACAGATAGGTATGGTACTCAGCATCAGCTTAATTGACATTCAGCTAACCTCTGTCTTATTTCAAGAAACTTGAAAATCAAGTAAATTACTAATCATATTCTAAGAGAAGAAAGCATAATGAAAGTAAAGAATCACAAATTTTCTCAAAAATTAAATGGTACAATGTAGAAATTAAAGCATGTGTTTTTTTACTTTTAGCCACACAAGGCCTTTATTTTCTAACTCTTTGTTGAATAGCAGTGTTTAATCTTTTAACACATCTCCCTTGGAACAGAGTAGAAATTCGACAGTTCATGCACTTTTAGAAATAAGAGAGTTCAAAGAAGAGTAGTTTAAGCCAAAACTTAAAAGCTTCTGTAGAGGAGAAGCCTCTGTTCGCAATCAGGATTCTGAGCAGACAGGAGCATAATAATACTGAAACATACACAAGCATGTGCTCTCCTATGCAACACTGAAAATATTTTTTAAAAAAAGGTTTGTTTTCCCTCCTTGCAGATTTTCAATTTAGGAATAAAGGCACAAATTTCTGGCCTTGATTAGAAAAATTGAAAAGCCAGTAACAGATCTATTAAAGAGATGTGATTAGGACATCACCATGAAAGACAGGACAAAAAATAATCAGAAACAAACAACATACTGACCAGTGTCCTTTTAGCAAAAGCAGAAAAAAATTTCAGCCCTCATCACAATGGTTTTATATTTTAAACATATTTTTGAAAATGCATCCAAATGGCACTTAAGGTAATCAATATATTATGCAAACAGAATGCCTAACATGACACCTCATCTCAGACTACTGACTTCTAATTAGGGTTTTTCTCATTTCTTACATAACTTCAAAGTGACATGAGATTGTATGTGACATGACATCCTCTTGTATAGTATCATGACTTGTAGATTAAATATTCACCTAAGCCACATCTGTTAGGGAAAAAAACACATTAGTAGGAGGAACCAAGAAGTCGCAGAGGTAAAGTGAAGTTACAAAGAAATTGTCTACCATTTGGCCAGCCATATCCTGGCTCAGGTGGAAGTAATTATGTTATAGCACATATTTACATGTAACTTCACTGCTTCGACAGGTATTTTTATGTTGTGCTACCTACATGTGGCATGGATAACTCAGCTTATGTTTATCAACTTTAAAAGTTCCGTCTTAAATAGTAGAAGATGACTCAAAAATCAGTGTTATTTCAAGAAAGCAAAGCATCTAACACATTTCAGTTCCAACATTAAGATCAATCAAGACCAGTGTTTTCCTGAACTGAGGTTAACATACTGCTTCTCTGTGACAGTCTGCTTTTTCTTCACTCAGTATTCTGCTTTCATGTAGCATTTCTAATTTCCTATCAGTTACAGTTTTTGATTAAACCTTTAACAGTGATACAGCCAAAGATCAGAATTTGTAGATATCCTCCTTTACTTCAGTTGCACAGGAAATGCTCTAACAGTTCTGATAACTAATTTATTTGTTCAAGAATAATTTTACCACTTCCCAATCATTTCGGACTTCATAATTTAAGTATACATTTACAAACACTTCTCTAAAAGTGATACAGCTAGTACAGTAAGCACCTCCATGCATTCCTAATATCATCAAGTAGGAAAAAAAGCACTATAAATCTATGAAAAATGAGGCAGCATTTGCAGAGAATTAGCCTAGTTATGGCAAACATTACATTTTGTTCTCAAGAAAACACTTTTGCTTTTTTATTTAATGCACTCCAAAGCACAAAGACAGTGCATGTGAACATTTAATCTTTCACAAGTGTATTATGAATATCCATGGCGCAGTAAATGTCTGAATAGCAACAGAGATATTAAGAAAATAGACACTATCTATATCCTCTTAGGAACAAGAAGGCACCACTGATTTGAGGTTGTGTCCATACATCACCAGACGATTTTATTCTCATTTCTAGCTTTCAAACCAACATTATTTTCTCATTAACCTATTCAAACCACTACTATTCTGGTTTTCTCACCACAAACAACACACATTCATAGTAGTATTTCATCATGGAGAGTTCATTCACAGTGTAAGTTGACAGTACAGATTCTTTCTCCACCTGAAAAGAAAGCAGCAGTTTTCAAGACAGCTGCACAGGAACTATACAAGAAAATGCTATATTGTTATTTGATCATAAGGCTTATCTATGCACTTCTTATAAAATGAGAAAAGCAAGTAATTTGTAAGAAACATAATATTCCTAGAAGTCATTAATATATGTCATTATATTGAATGAAATTCATGGTGGTTTAATCAAAGCAGTTTGTCTGATTCATAACAATACTGCTTAGTGCAAACTGCACTATCTTCTTACCTCTATATGGAATCCATATTGCAGGATAACATTCTTTATATCCTCATAGCTTAATTCTATGGAAAGTTCATTTCCCAAGTTTTCAAAATGGTAAAGGAGAGGACCTGAAGTACAAAGATACAACAGAAATGGCTACCAAAAAGACAAATTATGTGTTAGAAGTCAAAAGTACACACTGATAGTGCAACAAACACTTTTATCAGATTCACATACTCAAAAATATGGAAGGTTCCCTGCCCAGGAAGGGTTGGAACTAGATCATATTTAAGATCTCCTCCAAGCCAAACCATTCTATGATTCTATAAATACTGATAAAAGAACATATTGCTGTTACTTGAATATGATTCCTATAATGAACACTAATTACTTTAGCTCTTATTCAACAATTTGCAACACTTCCTACTAGATTTGGTTTTCTGTATCTTACAATTCCTTCAGTCAAGCATCACTGCTGTCTCCATAGCTAAGAATATTTAAGCCTGCCTAGGAGCTCTGCTAGCACTCTGACTGGCTGGGACTGAGAGAGCAACCAATTGACCAGTGACTGACCAGTTTTTACTGTGCATAATGTTTAATGCCTGTGTCTTGTCTAACATTCTCTCACCACGGAAGACTCCAATCACACCGCATTCCCAAAACTTCTGCTTCAAGGCAGAGTACCAAATAGGCATTGGAAAAAAACACAAAAAAGCAAGGATATATTTTAAAGTTACATCTTCTTAGAAAAATAACAAAGATCACCACAGAATACAACATTTGTCAAAAAACAAATGCTTGATGAATGAATGTAAAACATGCCACTGGCAAGATTTACTTGCCTATTTAAAAATCACAGTGTTGACTTGATTGTAACTAGCAAACATCAGACCATATTTTGATAACTTCTGAAATCATTTCCAAGCCCTGTATTTTTCTAGTTATACAGTTTGCTCATAGATACAATTATTTGCACACACTTCTAGAGTATATGATCAAAAATAAGTCAAAAAGAGCAGCTGGTCACACTTGCCTACATTTATCCATATTCCTCCAGGCTTTAGTATTTTCCATATAGTATCAATATAGTCAATAACATTATGTGCTGTGTCTATGAAAAAGCAAGTTGCTACGCAGTCCCACGTATCTGCATGAAAAGAGCAAAGTATACAGAGATTAGTTTCAATGCTTTTAATCTTGTAAAAGTTCATAATTTAACCCTGGTATTTGTTGATACCCTCAGAATCACTATCAACTAATAGCAGCTGTTTTACAGGCAAATTAACAAAGTATTTTGGTTTACATTAAAAACTGTTAACTTTGAGTTTATTTGGCCTGTATTCACATGTGTATATGTACACATACACAGACTACAATATTACATATACTTACTATTTATGCACTTAACAAAACTGTTCATATATTATTTATATATTGTATTCTGTAAAATTATACACAAATGAAGCCCCAAGTGTGCTATTACTCACCTGTCCTATAAATTTAATTATGACAGCTGTTAAAAATACAACTGCAAAAATCCCTAATCATTTCAGGCCTCCCTAGTTAGTATCCAGAACAATACAAATCTGCACTAAAGTGTACTTTCAGAAGTTACTTAGCTTTGAAACATTTTACTCAGTATTTGAACATCTCCCCAGCTGTTTTTAACTAGTCAATTCAACAGGCAGGATTTCTGAAGCCTATATTTTAAAGCATGAG